TATGTATTTATTTTAATTTTTTAGTAAAACATTAATAGTTCCATTTACCTGCCTCCCCCAATACAAAATCCTGGCAAACACACCCAGCACCCTAACACATACACAGCACCCTAACACCAGCACCTTAACATTGACACAGCACCCTAACACACACACAGCACCCTAACATTGACACAGCACCCTAACACACACACAGCACCCTAACACCAGCACCCTAACATTGACACAGCAACCCTAACACACACACAGCACCCTAACACACACACAGCACCCTAACACCAGCACCCTAACATTGACACAGAACCCTAACACACACAGCACACTAACACACACACAGCACCCTAACACCAGCACCCTAACACCAGCACCCTAACATTGTCACAGAACCCTAACACACACAGCACCCTAACATTGACACAGCACCCTAACACACACACAGCACCCTAACACCAGCACCCTAACATTGACACAGCACCCTAACACACACAGCACCCTAACACACACACAGCACCCTAACACCAGCACCCTAACATTGACACAGCACCCTAACACACACACAGCACCCTAACATTGACACAGAACCCTAACACACACAGCACCCTAACACTGACACAGCACCCTAACACACACACAGCACCCTAACACCAGCACCCTAACATTGACACAGCACCCTAAAACCAGCACCCTAACATTGACACAGCACCCTAACACACACACAGCACCCTAACACCAGCACCCTAACATTGACACAGAACCCTAACACACACACAGCACCCTAACACCAGCACCCTAACATTGACACAGAACCCTAACACACACACAGCACCCTAACACCAGCACCCCAACACACACATAGCACCCTAATACCAGCACCCTAACATTGACACATCACCCTAACACACACACAGCACCCTAACACACACATAGCACCCTAACACTCACACAGCACCCTAAAACACACACAGCACCCTAACAACAGCACCCTAACATTGACACAGCACCCTAACACACACACACACACACACAGCACCCTAACACCAGCACCCTAACATTGACACAGCACCCTAACACATACAGCAACCTAGCACACACACACACACACACATCACCCTCAAATACACAGCACCCTCAAATACACAGAACCCTCGCACAGTGCCCTCACACACAGCACCCTCCCACACACACTATACTCCTCACAAATGCACACTACACCCCTCACACACACTATACTCCTCACAAATGCACACTACACCCCTCACACACACAGCACCCCCCAAACACACTGCACCAGTCACACACTCACTAGATCTCCTATACGCACTCCTGAGTCCTTCAAACACACACTAGATCCCCTACACACAGACGCTGCACCACTTACACACACACTACATTTCTGACATACACACTCAGGATCCCCTATGAACACACTAGATATCCTTTAAGCAAACACATAGTGTCTCCATAAATGGGATACAGTGAGTATTCCAATTATGGAAACCCCTGAGACAAGTTTCAAGCAAACACAATGCAAGCATGTTATTAAATTTGCTTGCGCTGTGCAGATCAAATACAGGGCCCTTTTCTCATGCCCTGGAAGAGCATTGAACCAACATGCTCACTTTGAGATGGGGCGTGCTTGTCATTGGGGATGACAAAACACACCCTATCTGGTCCCGCCCCCTTTTCAGTGGGCCGCTGTAATTAAAAATGCCTGGGCCGAATTTTTTCCCCAGTCCGGCCCTGGTCATATCGCCTTCCTGCTTCCTCCTCCAATAGCATTAGTCATGTTGTCTTCCTGCTTCCTCCTGCAATAGCCTTAGTCATATCACCTTCCTGCTTCCTCCTGCAATAGCCTTAGTCATATTGTCTTCCTGCTTCCTCCTGCAATAGCCTTAGTCATATATCCTTCCTGCTCCCTCCTGCACTAGCCTTAGTCATATCACCTTCCTGCTTCCTCCTGCAATAGCAATAGTCATATCGCCTTCCTGCTCCCTCCTGCACTAGCCTTAGTAATATCTCCTTCCTGCTCCCTCCTGCACTAGCCTTAGTCATATCTCCTTTCTGCTCCCTCCTGCACTAGCGTTAGTCATATTGTCTTCCTGCTTCCTCCTGCAATAGTAATAGTTATATTGCCTTCCTGCTTCCTCCTGCAAAAGCCTTAGTCATATTGCCTTCCTGCTCCCTCGGGGATCTAGACTATAGAGGAGATTGAGGGGATTCCCTAACATCCAATATTGTTGGGTGTGAAACAATAGCCAAGTGAATACATCTGTAATAATGAGTGTATACTCCAATGTTGCCTCATTTGGAAATTAGTCTTATTTGCTCAGAACTTTGTGGAGAGTTCACTGAGCTCCAAATTGTATCAAACTGAAATCTCAATGGAAACATTTAGGCTAAAATCGACAATATGGAAAAAATATCCAAGTCAGCTTTAGTTACACCTGGGCTATTTTGGCCTCATTTTGACTAAATGAGTTATAAGGGTAACTAGTACACAAGAAACTGGCATCAAGACACAAGGGGTATTTCATGGAAACGTTCTTGGATGTAACTAGAAATGGCTGTAACAGATCTGGTGGAATGTGTCTACCATTAAACACAATGTATCACTTGGAGCAGATGGAACCATGACTGTGACCTGAATCTGTTTCTGGCTCAGCTGAGAAGATAAAATTCATATTTCAAAGGTCACTAATTATTACACCATGTGTAACCTATTCCCAGAACGTGACACACCACAAAAACATAGCAACTCAGAACATGATGCTGTTTGCGTGACTTAGCTTACAATCACACCAGGCATTTGTTCTGCAAAATTACAGAGTGTTAATTGACATAGAAAGCAATTTAATGGGTACATACGCTGGATCTTCTGTACATGTATCCCTTCGCTGGTTTTCATGTTACCTTGTGTGGAGATTATTGCTTAAGAGGAGCCATTACAATTTAACAATGAAAAGTTTTTACATACAAGTTATGGATTGTGTCTGTGGAGTTATACCTCTTCCAAGGACTAATTGCTGTTGATAAACCAAATGGCCATGGATACATTTACCAGAACATTGATGGCTAATGTTAAGAAATAACATTGAAAATGTTTATGTTAAGAAATTCTCTGAAAGGCTTCAGTAAACACAACTGCAGCAAAAAAACACCAAAGCAAAATAAAAATTGTAATACAGATGATTGTCAAAAAGCATGCGTGAGGTAAAAGCACTGCACCCTAAATTATTGGTTTAGGCCTAGGGTAAGGCTTGAATTAATTTAGTTTAATCTGATGATCATGATTGTACAGCTCATTGAAGACAAGTACTCCTAAAAGTCCTCGTTGACCCTCAAAACATAGAATGAAATGTCCTGTCCCAAGCTTACAACCACTAGCCGAATCGATACCCCCTTCATATTTGTTGTGTTATCCAAATATTCTTTAACCTTCCGAGGATATCTTCTGGAATCCCATACTTGAGAGACTTTCAGATTGTCTTCCATATTCCACAGCTTTAAATGTTATGAAAACCCACCTATTCAGAGGTTGGTAAATGTCTTTCCCCTCTAATAATCTGCTATACTGGGTCCTGAATATCACCTGTCCCTACACCTAGTTCCTCCCACACCAGCCATTTTATTTCCCCAATGAATCACTGACTGGCTGCTGGTAATATTACTGTCTTCAAATTGGGAAACCTAGGTACGTAATCCCAGTCAGACGATATTACCAGCAAGCGTTATTGGGCAAGACACCTGATGATAAATATCCACCTACCTCAAATCCTCATAGATTGTAAACTTGTTTGAACAGAGCTTGCTTCATTTCTTTGTTTTTTATATATTTTGTTTTTAACATAATAAACATCATGTTGTACAAATAATATGCAAGATTCCTATAAGACATAAAGGATAGCAACAAGGCAGATAGTGATACATAGCATATTTCAGTATCAGAGGGATATCGGTAAGTCTGCATCTAGGATAATCAGAACCTCGGTGTGTGCAACCCGCTGACGTAGACAGTCAGCCATTAACAGTAGGTAGGAACTCATAAGGCTAGGTAGCCCGTTATAGTCATGAGGTACATTTGCGACCTTACAGGTATTTCTTTCTTGTTGTGGTGCATACAAGTAGGTAATAGTAACATCAATTACAGAATTGTGCCATAATTAACAAAGAAACTTAAAAAGCAACAGGGAGGATGAGATACTTGTTCTACCATATCTGTTTACAGTAATGCAGTTCACAGGCTCATTACCTATGCCCGCTGTCCAGTTAGTGATTGGGTTGAGCAGGTGGGCGCCCATGAGGTTTAGAAGAGGGTAAGAGTGTGGTCTTTCACCTGGGGGCCATTTCAGGGCAGGGTCAAAACTGTTCATATACCTCTAGGGAGCCAGCTATTGTATGCAAAAAAAAAATTCATATTGCTGTGTGCAGTTCACCCTCTCGACGACTAGTGAGAGTTTAGGCTTTTTGGTTGATTTCAACAGGGTGGCTATGCAGTTTTTCAGATTGTCATATTCTCCCAATGAGCTCACAGTCTAGTCTGTGCTTGTGGGTGTTCGAGACAGTAGGTGAGTGGCCACATCTTGTGTGGCAAGCAGTACTTGTTGTAGGAGCGAAGATTGGCAGAAGGATCATTTCAGCTTCTGGATTTTTGTCCATTCCAGGCTCACTCTCCTTGGGGAAGCAAAATTGTGGTTGCCATCTTCTCCAGAAAAGAGTCCCCATGCTCGTAGCATGTCCATGCCTTGTTCTGGGTCGTCCAATGGATCAATTGCGCCAAATTAAGATTTTTGTGGGGAAAGCCCAGCAGTAAGGTAATTTGTTGTTGGGAAGGCACTTAGTGAGATTGATAAAGTCCTTCTTTCTGGACATCGTCATGGCTGATAGGTCAGCATATAGGGACACCCCAGTATAGTTGGCTGGCATTGTCGTGGCCTTCCTCTGCACCATCAGTATGGCTTTGTTGGAGCTATACTAGTGGAGCCTGATAACGATATCTCTGGTTACATCCTGCGCCAGGATTTTGGGCTTGGGTACCCGATGGACATAACATTGGGACGCAGGTTAGCTTTTTCCAAATTCAGCCATATTGCGTGGAAGAGCTGTTGTAGGTATTCTGGCAGTTCTTCGTGGGACTCTGGGACTCCGCACACACGGATGTTATTGCGATGCGAGCAGTCCTCCAGATCCGCCAGTTTTTCCGTATGGTATCTGTGGTCATTTTGCATTTTATGGATTTTCTCCATGATTTCATTATTAGCGAGGCAGAGCTCATCCGCTCTCTCCTCCAATGCTCCCATACGTGCACCCACCTCCTGTACTTTTTAGCAGATGTTATCAACAGCTGACCTGAAGCTGCAAACCATCTTTCCGACAGGGAGATGCCCCCTGAGGTTACCTGCAGTGTTTCTGTGTCAGAGCCTGCTTCTGAAGTTTGCATGGTGAGCAGGAACCGCCACCATCTTGATCAGGCCGTAGTTTATCTAATTTTCCCTGGAGGAAGAAATCCGAGGCACGCTGAGCTTTTGGGGGTGCCATGAGGGTACTGTGCTTAAGCACACGTGTGGGGTAAGTAAAACTCCTTGAGCCACTATTTTTAGTTGCTATTGGGCTCAGAGCTACTGCACCATGCGACTGCTTCGTAGGACCAGACATCCCGCCTGAGCTTGCTTCATTTCTAAATATCCCCAATCTATAATTGTAAATCACTGAGGCAAATATTAATGCCATTAATAATAATTTCTCTCAATCTGATCGCCACTCGCCTACTGTCTCGAACATCCACAAGCAAAGACTAGACTGTGAGCTCATTGGGAGAGGATCATCCTTGCTTTCTGCATCACTATGTATGTAAATACATTTTATATTATATGTTACATAGTATTTACTTCATATTGATTTACTGATAAGGGTGTTTTCATGCAAGTCCTGCTGAATTATAGTCTAAATACATATTAAAAATCAGTAATACCATTTTGGCTTCCAAGAAGCATCACCTTCGCAAAGCCTTCATTAGCTCATTATAACTTTACATCCGATGCTTTTAATTTAAAGAACTCGCTGGATACCGCTCAGCAGCCAAGCCTAAAGCTCATAAAAGTATTGAGCTTGTCTTATCCCATTCCATCCATTGTCAGAGAAGGCTCCATGCTCTGGGCAAATGCCTTGGACCCTCCGTGGGAGCTGTATAGTTCAGAATAAAATTTGTTTCCCCCTGTTGATTAAAAAAACTGATGATTAGCTACCCTCCTGATTTAAGGCGTGACTCTAGACAGCTTTAGCAGCGGGGCCTCATATTAAGAGACTCATGTACTGCAGTGTCAGTAATACTCACAAACCCTGTATAAGTCCATTCCAAAACCTTTTACATTTTATCTCTTGTTTATATTCCTTAATCCCAGCCTATTCTGTTTGCTCTTATGCTTTAAAGGCTGTCATCTCGTTACAGAAGAGGAAATAATGCCATCTTTATAGCCTTGGTATTGTGCACCATCATACAATGTGTTTTGTGTCTCCGTTCAGTTAAAAATGACCGCTGGGGTGTCATTGTACTAGCCGGACGTAGAATAATGCAGTGTGTGGGAAAAACTATTTATCGACTTAATCATCTCAATTTCTTTCAGGCCAGCTACCATTTGTTGAGCTTATTACACGTGTGTTTGTGCCAAGAATCTTGCTATTTACATTGAGTGCAGACTATAAGACTTTCCTACCAACAGGTAACAATGCGGAATGTATCCATGGAGAGACGCTGTACGTGCAAAGTGGATAATTGTTCATAGATCATTTGATGTGACAGTGCTGGTATAGATCCAGACACTAATTCATTTTCCCTGTCATTATATCCTAGATTTAAAGGAACACTTCTTAGAATATAACCACTACAGTGCGCTAGTGGTTATTATGGTGTCTGGAGGCCACTTGTTCCCCCCATTGTTGGGAGTCAAACTATTTTAGAATGGTTAGACATCTTACCTGGAGTCTGCGGGGCTCCGCTCCCGACTTCCACCAAATCTGGAAGAGAGCCAGAAGCTGCTGCAGAGCTAGCTCATTGGCTGAGAACAGAGAGACAGAGCCCTCTAGTGGCTGCAGTTGAGGTTAAGATTGTAACCCAGCAGATCCCGGGTAAGAAGTCAAACCATTCTAAAAAAAGTTTGACTGCTTACAAGTGAGGGAACCAGGGCACTCTTGGCACCAAAACTACTACAGTGCTTTGCCGCGTAATTCCTGTAGACCAATAGGCTGAGAACATCAGCTGAACCTCATAGCCTCACACTAGCTCCTCATTGAGAAAAGGAAGTGTAAAGTGGTTAGTTTATTTTTCTGAATGGGGAGCTAGTCATACGCTGGGACGCTCTCAGCCTACCATGCTATCTTCCTGACTGAAGCCTCCGTCCTGCATAAGAAGTGGAGGGGCAAACTGAAAAGGCATCGACTTGCAGACTTTGGGAGTTATTATTGTTATTACTAGTATTTATATAGTGCCAACATATACCGCAGCGCTGTACAATTGCCGAAAACAGACGGCTTACTAAAGAAAAATCATCAATACAAATGGATGTACAGCCTTTTTAAACAAAGTACTTTAAACCATTCATTGACAATTTAAAACAATTTAAAAGGTAAGATGGCGCCTGGGACCTTCTTACACCATAACAACTTAATTGTGATTCAATTGTAATGGTGCCCAGAGTGGTCCTTTAAAGAGACATTATTGTGCATATTATTGCTGTGGTTATACACTCAGACACACCAACGATACAGAGCTAGAAAAGAGAGAGGGGCAGTGGGGTAGAAAAGAGGGACAGAGGGATTTGGGCACAGAATTGGGAGTGTCCCTCCTAAAACAGGTCTTGCTTCCTTGGAATGTACATAATGCTAACAGAATATAAACATTACACTTTTTAATTTACATACTAAGTTCGATACTGTGCTTTGTATCTGTCCATTTACCAGCAATAATAAACAGAACATATCTGGTGTTAAAGAGACAGTATGAACCTGACAATTGAAACACTGAGAGCTAATACTCGTGGTATCTGACGTGGTTTAGGTTACTGGAGGACATGAATATTAGATATACTATTTCAGTGCTGAAGATGATCCTCCTAATCTTACTGTCGTCTTTGGGATTTGCAGTGGGATTCATTTTCTAAGAAAGCATACGCTTACAAAAGCCAAGCAAATAAACAAACAAAAACGTGCAAACGTGACAACGACGCATCACGCCTTTATTAAATGAGCTAAAAAAAGATCACAATTTATTTCTAGCTCCTCTGAGTGACAAAGGATCAGACGTCATGTTAATGGTCATTAATGAGTTACTTTATGAAACAGCAGATTTGACATGTTCACCTATTTGTTTATATTTCTGTTTTCAGTGAATTGTTACCCAGATGTGTTTTTTTTTCCCGACAGTAATTATTTTATAGACAGATACAGACACTGTTTGTTTGTTACAATTTAGCTTTTTGTTTCTGTAACATTTCTAAGTGTCCAAATTCATTAACGCATTTCCTATTCATTGAACAGCGTGAAGAGGAACTTATGAAGTGGGTGCATCAGCTGAAGTCTTTTTGTATTCATTGATAGCCAAACAATACGCTCTACATATGTCAAGATAGGAAAATAAATGTAAATGCCTAAAAAAATGTAGGTATTAATATATCAAATGACTCAACCTTAAAGGCATACTAGGCTTGCTACTATGCAGGATAGGCAGCTGCCTAGAGGTGTCTGTGTAAAAGGCACACCTACCCTGACTATAAATGTGTGTATTGGTGTTCCTTTGTAGATGGTTTCATACACATTTTGCTACTTGATAATAATTATATTGTATACTATTTGTGGAAGGTTGCGAATGAGTGTAGCACTTCCTGGCTGTTTTGTGTGATCTCCAAACCAAGCAACACAGAACTAAGTTATTTGTGAGGAGCTAAAGGGCATCTAGAACTTCTACTGACATCCATAATGCAATTTTTGTCCTGTATGCAGGACCACACTTGCACATTTGTCATCTGTGATGTGTTTGCGTCTGTATTTTAGATATCATTTATATATTCCCTTGAGAGTCTCTGAGAAACACACCTGGATAAATATGACTAAAAGATAGGACCTGGGCAACAGAAATCGAGAGGCCTTGCCATATCTGGGACTAATGGATTGCATGAGCGTGTCAGTTCTCCACGTCTTACCTTTATGACAATGGTTCTATTCAATAAACACAGAATTCTAGTGAAACAAAAAAACAAATAGCGAGAATTACAGAGCAATTCACTATAGTGACAATTGTATGGATTTCTAAGTGAATTTCAAATTTTATGGAACACTTTAAATAAAACACTCTGTATTCCTAATGCTACAGTGCCCTCGTGGATTCCTAATGCTACAGTGCCCTCATGGATTCCTAATGCTACAGTGCCCTCGTCCTCAATTATGTGCCTGAGTCAGTGCTGCCAAGATTAACCATTTAATGTTTCCAGCTGCAGGGTTAAAAAAAAGGGGGGGGGGGGGATATGGCAGCCAGACCACTTTATTGACATGCTCCAAGTCAGTTATACTTCCAGTTCACCAATCGCTTCATCTTCTCTCACTCTCTCAGGATCTGTTCTTCATTTCTTCCTGTCTTTTCTTTAAAACATAAGACAAAGTATGGACTACTTGCCTTATGGAGGTTTCCTACGCCTGACCATCTCTGACCAGCGGAGGAGCAAAGTGTGCTTAATTTTTGGTTGTCAGAGAAATTTTCCCACAATTCTCACCTTTCCTCCTTGATCTCGCGATGCTTCCTGTCAGTATTCCCGAACGTTCTGTCATTTAGACAGAACGCTGGCAAAACTACCAAATTTCATCCTAACAGAATGAGAACGGGACTTTGTTCATATCAGAAATTTTTTTTTCCTTCCCCCCTGGCTCAGGGGTGGTGGCTGGGGGGGGAGGACAATAGGTCTCCACCCTTATTGTTATTTAGGGCCCCCAACCGCAGCTCAGTGTTGGGGGCAGGGGGAGGACAATAGGTCCCCCCCCTTGAGGGGAGGACAATAGGCCCCCCTATCATTTGCATTTAGGGCCCCCACCTGCCATTTAGGGGTTGGGGCCTGGGGGGTGGACAATAGGTCCCGTCCCCCAGATTCTAATTTAGGGCCCCCACCCGCCGTTCATGGGTGGGGGCTGGGGGTAGAACGATAGGTCCCCTCCCCATTTTCATTTAGGGCCCCCATCCACCGCTCGGGAGTGGGAGTCGGAG